TCCCTACACACATAACAGCAGACCTAACTTCCACCACCCTGCGAGGTGAACAGATCTCGTTTTAATGCCATATCTAAAAAGGTGCTTTTACTTTAATGATGTTATTTTCTGTGAACATATTTTTCCCCCTTTGCCTAAAATGCTGCCTCATTCTGCAGCCAGCAAAATATTTTTCTGGAGAGAAAAAAAGGGTGGGAGGTGAGAAGGGACACCTCCCACAGATGAATTTTGTTTCCAGCTGGGTTATCAAAATGGGAACATACTGCATTTTCTATCAGTTACGTGTGACACAAAAAGTTTCAGGCCCTCCAGTTATGTTAATGGCTTCAGCAATTTTTCAGATCAGACATGACACACACACATTCTTAATGCTAATGCACTCACCTTCATCACTCGAGGTCTCCTGTTTAACCACCGACAACGGGGAGCGCGTTGGTGGTTTGCCCAGCGGATGACGACGACTCTTCTTTATCTCCATCTTCATTTTTGAAAAAGCAGAGGCAGTCTGTAACAAACAGAAGCAGCTAGATGGGAACCCCAAAATATCTCGGCCAGCAAGGGAGAGTACAGGACAGAGAGGCAGAATCCTTGTCTTTTTATAAAGAGTTCTCGAATTTACACAGCAAATTTTTCACTGCCTTTTGGCTGGAATCAATAAAGCCTCCCAAGCCAATTACTGCAGTAGATAAAGCCAACGCTATCTCTTAGGATGTCAGGTAAAGGTAAGCTACAGTGTTTTCTTAAAACCAGAACAGCCTCAGAACAGCTTCAATCCTGCCAATTCCACTAGCTTATGAAAAGTCTGGTCAATCATATAAACAGCTAGGAATTCTAGCACAAAAATTATGTACAGGGCACATAGGATCAGAAACATTTTACTAGAACATTATGGTGCATTTTAGGACAAGCATATTTATATTGTACTGTACCCACCGCCCCGTGTACCATCCAACATTGTAAATACTCAATGCATTCTCAGACTTGCTGCTAATTACTGAATGTTTTCTTCTTTCTCTTTTGGAAACTGTCCTAAGGAAAGCACTCTCCAAGGAAAAGAGATGCCCGAGACAGATTACACGCCATGAACTGTATTGTCCATGAAAAGGTTTTCTGCCAACTTTTCCAATTCTAAACGTCATGATGGAAAAGATCCCCAGGCAACACCATATAGCAGGCCAACGGCTGGAAGCATAAAGCGCATGCTATCAGCTGGAGAATTATCAAAATGTTGGTGCAAAGTTGCCCTTGGGATCGTTTGGTTTTACCACTCTCAGAACGGTTGCTCTGCAGCAGCCATTTGCTTGTGCTGGGTCTTCCTGCCTAGTGCTGAGGATGATCGTTTCGGTGTTATCTGTACTATTAGTAGCAGAAAAGAGATTCTCTGTTTTCTCTTTTGAAGGCAATAACATGTTTGATTAATCAGCCAGCATCAATGCAATGATGGACTGAACTACGGTCTGAACTGTGAGAAAATAATCTCTCCTCATAAAAGCACCCTATGGCTCTCCAACACGGGACTACTCCACTGGAGGCTCGGGCACAATTCAGGACTCCCCTCACGCCAAGTTTAGTCCTCAACTTTTGCTTAAAACTGGCAAACCTTATAGTCACCTCCTCGGTCATGCATACCTGTAAATCACTGACTTCCATAGCAACCTCCGTACTTTCTGCTTCCGCGCTCTCCTCCTCCTTCACAGGGATCTCCATAGGGACCGTCTGTTCCCGCCAACTTGGGCTCTTCTGGGTGGCAAACTGCTCAAACGCCTGCTGGCAGGACATGCGCTCCTTGTCAAACACCACCTTTTTGGTCCGTGGAACCACGTAAAGCATGGGAATGATGGGCCGCGGTTTAAAGTCTTCCTCCTCAACCGGTGCCTCCGAGGGCTGGATAACGTTCAGGGGAGCCGGGGGCAAGCTCTTTTCTGCCGTGGACGCGGTGGGCGCTGCGGCGGGCGCCGACGGCCG